TCTGGATTTGACAGGGAGCCCATGGAGAGAAGCTAAAACTGGAGAGAGATGATCTCTCCCAGTAACTCCAGTTAAGACTCTGGCAGCAGCATTTTGGATCAACTGAAGACGTTTTAAAGAAGTATTTGGACACCCAGATAATAAACCATTGCAATAGTCCAGTCTAGACGTGACAAATGCATGGACCAGTTTTTCTGCATCATCTTTAGATCAGATGTTTCTAATGTTAGTGATATTACGCAGGTGGAAGAAGGAGGTTCTAGTAATGTTTTTAATGTGGGGGATAAAAGACGTGTCCTGATCAAAAATAACACCAAGATTTTTAACATTAGAGCTGGAGGACAGATTAATGCATCTAAGGAGGGAGAAAGACTGAAACATTCATTCCTAAGGTGCTCAGGTCCAAAAACCAAAACCTCAGTCTTGTCTGTTCAACAGGAGAAAATTAAGGGTCATCCAGGTAAGAATGTGAAGTGTTACAATAAATCCACTGTATTGTTTCCCCAGATGTATCTGTGTATAAGTGGATGATTTTAATGCACAATGCTGAATGCATTGCAGACTCACAGAAGGTGGAAATCATTCACTCACCATCAGAAGTTTTCATAACAGGACAATCCGCCTGTTGTTGTGGATGTGGCAAAAGCACCAATAATTCTGTCACCATCCAGGGTCCTAGTTCTTAAAGGGTTGATAGCAAGAAGAGCCAGGTCACATGTCCAACTGTCCCTGCTGCTGTTTCTCAGGTAGTTCTTGAAACGACGCAAACAAGAAAAACTGTGCTCACGGCTCACAGGTGTTACTGGAAGAGTTAAACAGGTGGATATTAGTTTATACTGGTCTTTGTAGGGTTGCATTAGAGGGAGGAAATCCTGCACGTTGTTGATTGTATGTCCCTGTTCTTCTTTTGTTTTCAGCAGCCGGACAACTTGGTGGAGCTCTGCAGACGAGTTCTCCTCGGTAACTCCATGATGACAGGTCATGGCATGTCAAGGCATTTTTTGTTTAAGAACGATGAGCGTTTGGGGCTTAGATTAGAGCTGGCAAACCTTTCAGTACTTCGTTTTCTGAAGAAAAACACGGTTTCAGTTCCATGAGCTTCCTGTCTGAAACAGGATAGAATGACTGTGTTTTCAGGTCATCCATCATTTCTTCCAAATTATTGTTTCTTTGTTGGTCGCAGTCTGCCTCTAAAAAATCCTCCTTCTCTGATTCCATCCTAGAAAATTTGGGTAACAGAAACGGTCCATTTGTTGCATTTTGTGCACTTTTCAAATGTTTACCAGAAGTGAAAATTCAAGTTCGTTTCCTGGTGCAAGATATGATTTTTTATTTTTATTTTTTGCTCAATATAATCATTGATTGTTTGTTTTTTAATTAGTTGTGTTTTGTGAGGAAAATATCACAACAACCACATATTAAAGAATATTAACTTAGATGAAAATTAAAATAATTTATAATTTCTTGGGGGTGCTACGAGGGTGCTATGACTTTTCCAGGGGTGCTACAGCACCCCCTAGCGTCCCCCTAGCACCACTGCTGCTACAAAGCCCTCAACAACCTAGCTCCATCTTATATTTGACATCTTATTGTTCCATACTTTCCAAACAGAGCACTTCACTCTCAGACTGCAGGTTTCCTCGTGGTCCTTAGAGTTTCCAGCAGCAGAATGGGAGGAAGATCTTCCAGTTCTCAGGCTCCTCTCTTGTGGAACCAACTTCCAGTTTCTGTCCGTGAGGCTGACACATTGTTAAGACTGGGTTTAAGACTTTCCTGTTTGATAAATCCTATAGTTAGGGTTGGCTTGTTACCATACCATACCGATTTATTTATAGCGCACTTAAAACAGCAACAAGGCCAACCTAAGTGCTGAACAATAGAAACAAACAAGCACAGCGGACAGGAAAACATAAAATAAAAATATAAATACAAATAGCAGCAGATAATAACAACACTGTGGACTACAAACAGACACTGCTATAAACGTTTCCTTAAATAAATTGTTGCAACTGAATAATTTTCATTTGACGCTATTTCTTTCTTAACATGTGATTCTTGACCTGCCATTGTGTATCTATTCCTCCCAAACCCAGCCGGTCGAAGCAGATGGTCCTCTTGTCCTGATCCTGGTTCTGCTAAAGGTTTCTTCCTCATGAGGGAGTTTTTCTTTCCACTGT